CCGAAGGACTGTGCAAATAAAGAATTTGCAGGGTTTGCAAGTTCCATCGAATTTCTTCCGACTTTTGGCCGTTCGCCTGCTGCCTTTAGCCGTATTTCTGTTAGCAACCTAGCTCGAAACTTTAACCAGCTATCCAACAGAACTTGCGTCATTCCCTCAGAGTGTAGTATTACCTTCATTAGCCTTGGACCGCAGCCCTTGTAGTTAGGTGATAACGGAACTCTTGTTAGGGATTTGGCAATAACATTGTTAACAGAGAGTGCTTCGCGGATGTAGCACCACTGCTTTTGGTCATGTGTTTGTGCATCGTGTTCAAAAGCATGCAGGAGCTCGGGAACACCATGAACAAATATTGTTTTCTTGCTATCCCTATTAGCAATACCGCGTTGCTCCACTGCTTCTTTTGCGCGGTCTTTCCAAGGTAGATCAGGTAATATGCGCACTCCGCTCGGTGAGTTGCGAAGACGAACTGCTGAAAGCAGGACAACCTCTGTCTCATCTGCTGAGTTTAGTGTTACTCGAAGAATTCGAGGTTTGTAGGACTAGTTAATACTAGTCCGAGACGGTGCGCGGAATTAAGCGCGGATAACAGAAGGCAATTGGAGTCGGACACAGCGGACTGTATTCGATGGGACTACAACAAGAAACGGACGGATGATCGATGAATGTACGTATGAATGCATGCGGGTATCTGTGTTGCTTGGGTTTGCAAATGTGTCGCTGCACTTTTGACTCTTTGATCGGATCGCCAGTGTCACTGGATGTTCGACGTCTGTAGATTGGATCCGATTGTCCGGATAAGCAAGGGACTGTGACTTTAGTTAGTGGCGAGTCACAACCGCCACGTCGCACTGTTGTTAAAAGGACATTTGTGGCTTTTTATAGGGAGAACGTTTACCAAGCGAAAACCCACCACGTCCTGGAACACTGCTGCCAAACTAACTCCTAAAGGAATTAACGTCATTCTTCAACTTCAGAAAGGAACTCATGGCGTATGACGGTTTGCTGTTCAAAAAAATCGCATTCCGACCAAACCGTCGCTTTGCGAAAACAAGCTAGAACACGCTCATCAAGCCTATTTGAGTGCTAACTACAGCATTAGAAGATGACGCGAAATGATGTACTGGCCCAGTATGACAAGCAAATACCATTACAACGCTTCCAAGTATACGAGGCTTGCCAAGCTAAGGAGACAATGACGTAGCGTGAGATCCCAGATGTACCATGGCAGAAACTAACAGTGGATTTGTTCTGTGACAACTGGAGACTATTTAATGGTAACGGACTACTACAGCGACTAATTCGGAATTGATCCATTTATCGCTACCACCATGAAGGCAGTCATCAAAAAGTTCAGATGTCAGCCCACCAGACACGGAATACTGGAGGAATGGATCTACGATAATGGTCCATAGCTTACACGTGCTGAGTTCCAGACCTTTGAAAACAAGTGGGAATTTTGGTATCGATAAACTAGGCAGTCTAACGGAAAAGGAGAGGCGATAGTCAAACAAGCCAAGAAACCGTTGCCGAAAACTAGAACCACTCATGAGGATCCATATGTGATGCTGTTGGAGGTACGCAACACGCCATCAACGAACATCGGTTCCGATCCAGTACAACGTCTGTACAGCGGAAGACAAAAAACCTAATGCCTTCGCCCGCTGAGCTGTTACACCCGGTCTTGTCGTTGCAGGAGTAACTGCAAAGGAATTTAAGAAGACGAAAGGCGGATCCGAAACGGTATTACAACCGCGGTACCCGGGCGTTACCTGTGCTAGCAGTAAAGGAGGATTCAATCAATACCGGGTGTCAGCGAACGATGAATGGTGTAGTGACTGAGAAGGTCGGGGAAAGATCTTATGAAGTCAATAATAGGGTGGAAATAATCAGAAGGAACGGTGCGCAGTTGAAGCGACACCGGGAACGAGAAGGTAAACTTGGAGCAAGGCACACGACGATTTTCGGTGAGGTCAAAACGAAAAGGACAGCAAGGACCACGCGGAGAGAAAGAGCGTACGGAGTCTTCAATAACATAGATGCAGCTGGCAACGAAAAAGGGAAAGCTGTGATGGGATCATTCATGCATAGAGATAAGATACATGACGAAGAAAGCGGCTAGCTTTCTGCAAGCGAAGAGAGTAGATGATCGGACGCTTATGCATCTTCGCCCACATGCTGACTGGTTCATTTTTGGCAGTGCTGGAGTGTTCGACTGACTGATTCAAAGAAAGAATCTCATGAATGCAGAAGCGTCGTTAGTTATGGAAGTGAACTAGTCATTTACATAGAGGCTTTTGCAAACTAATCATGCTGTCGTTTTCGCAGAAGTTGCTTTGTCGAGCAAGCCGTTTCTTCCTGAAAGATCGAATTTTGCGATACCTGCCTGTTACAGCAAAAAATCGGCTAAATTTGTAATTTCGGTAGAAATGATCTCTGCATGCAATACTATAAAAGGCAGACAACAAGCTAAATACTTTCATTGTCACGATGAGGTTGGAAACAGTCCGCTCCCAAAGCAGAAGTTACCGTTGTTGTGAAACCACCCTGCATGCGTAACAGCTTGATTCATGGCATTTTACCGAGTCCGATCCCTACAAGTATCACAGGCGTTCAGAGTGAGAGACGCTGACATAAAACTGTTTAACGTAGGTAAAGGAAATGTGGTAGGAGACAAAATCAATGACGATGACCAAGTGATAGACCACCGCGTCCAAAAAAGAAAAAAAATGACAGCATTTACGTCTTATCCCAGGTGAATTAAGGTTGTAACACAGACTATCGTGACCCATAGTAAAGTGCAGAAGAGAATATCGTCGACCACAACCCGAATTCGCACGAGAATGGAACCAAGACTGAGTTATTCTGACCATTAACGAGTGACTCTCAAAAATATGGGTTGCGTCGAGTGAATTGTCAGGTGCGCCCAACGTGGGAGCGTAGCCGATTTGTCGACCAGCACACAATTCAGGCGTTTAATCTAGTGGCGAGGGTATTCGCAATGTGAGCCAAATAAAAGCTGGCACTATCGCTAGTACTGAATACTGTATTATAGAGCAAGTAGAAATGAATTCTGTACAACTCTTTCGAAATATGGCGAAAAACGTTATAAAATTGTCAACCGTGAATATCATTGTCGTTCTCATGTAATATTTAAAATATTCGACTTACGATATTTCAGGATTCACAAATGTGATATGTCATCGTAAGTGTGCAGTCGTTCTCTGAAGCGAATAGAGGCAAAATACAAATCTAACAACGTTTTGAACTGCTGCACAGATGTTGCCTCAATCACATGTTCGGGCAAACTGTTCCAAATGTTTACCACTCTCCTTTCGAAGCACAGTGGGTGGGGAACACATTTCATATCCGGCACGACAAGTTTGTATCTGTGTCCGCGTGTGCTGCATGGTCCTCGTAAGTGCAGTATTGGGCTTAGCATGGGGAAGTCACCAAGATGTAGAATTCGGTAGGTCATAATGAGGTCGACTCGCACCCGACGGTAGGACAAAGTGTAGAGCCCTAGTTTCTCGCACCGGTCTTCATACCCAAAGCCACGTAAACTCGGGATCAGCCTGGTAGCAACGTGTTGGACCCGTTCGATCTTTCGTGCCTCGCCTCGGGTAATCGGAAAGTAGGCGGGCGAACCGTACTCTAGCATTGGTCTAATGATAGAAGAGAACAGGCGAGTGGCAACCTCTTCAGACCATGTGCCGAAGCTACGTTTGAGCGCCCAAAGCATGCGCAGTCCGTTCCGATATAACCTGTTCGTGTTGTCCACGGACTTCAAATCGTAGCGTGAGAGTACACCTAGGTCCTTCCCGGAGGGTGTGGGATATAGCGTTTGGCCGCCAAGAGTGTAGGTTCGGCCGTTAGCACCCTTCCCCAGGCTCATAAATACGGGCTTGGCTGGGTTGACCGGGAGAAGAACTTCTGCAGACCACGTGGATAAGCGGTTGAGATCTTGCTGAAGTAGGCCACAGTCATCGGGAGCGTCGATTTCTCTCCAAATCTTCATGTCGTCCGCAAACAAGGCACACGGCGACCGGAGAAGCTGCGGTAGATCATTGACTGTGGTTGTAACGTTTATCATTAGGCCTCTAAATGTCTTCAGTTATGGTCTGTCTAGTAACAATGGGTCGGGGAAACAAGGGCTGAGTGTAACTTGTTGATTAGCATTTAGCCAGTTCCTCACACTATTCCAACTACGGTACACTGCAGCAGGTAGATGAGCAAAATTCTTCTTGTAAACTCTTATCGCGTGTAAGATTCTCATACGATACACGTGCGTTCCCAATGCGGACACCCTCTAGGCAAGCATATGCGCAATTCCTAGTATGGGATATAATACAATAGCGACGTCCTCTTTCGTTGATTTTCTAAGAGATGATAATCAGCGTAATAATTGTATGGGGAGATTTGTTGTTTCTAGAACACACTGGCAAAAATGTTGATAGTGAAATTGAGATCAAAGTAGTTTGTCTACAAGTGAAATAATAGCGCTAATTCTTGGCTTAGGCACACTAGATGTGAATATACTCAATGTGTGCCACGTCCGCAGGCGGTCATCTGGATTCACCGCTTTATGCTTTTCGTAAACGTTGCTGCGTTGTGATGCGGTCCACGGTCATCGTGACAATGTTACACTTGAAGACTGATTCTATGATTGCACAGGTGAATGCTCAAATACCACATTGTTTAAACTTTGCAGACATGATATGGTCATCGAGTATCGATCATGCAAGGGTGATAGGTTTATGGCACATTTTGTATTTGCGCTGTATGAATAAACCTGAGTTGCAAAACAGCTAGAGAACAATGCAAACGAAGTCATCTGAAAGTAGGGAATAATGGAATTGCTCAGTGAAGTGGGAAAAAGTGACCACATTGCATTAGATGGGCTCAAAGTAAAAAGTAAAAAGAAAGTGGACCTCCACAAGCGAAGGAGGTGAAAGCAATGGGAGCCAATCGGAGGACAAAAGTGCTGACACTGGCAGAGGTCACATGAATGGCTGTCCAGTGGATAAGTGCTGTTTGACTTGATCCAAGGTAACCGAGATAAGAGAAGATCTCTATAGAGGAGAATGGGTAAGAAAATATCTGACAGACAAAGAAACGCAGCGGCTGCATACATGTGGCAGTATGGTTTAGCCGGTATGGCACAGTGTAACAGGGCAGCAAAAGCTAACCGCATGATAGAGAAGATAGAGTAGTGGTGATGTGCCTAACAACTGAAGAATGAGTGTTAACATGCGAAAAATGCAATGGATTCTTATGTGATCAAATTAGCTCGAATGAAATCACTAGGCAGCGTGAAGAGGTTTAAAAATCTGACTTCAAACAAATAAGGTAGTATCAGGTGTTTAAACGCAGTGCAGCTACTCATATTGAAGTTAATAGTAGTTAGCTTGGCGAAGTGTTGTAACTTCAAACGCATGCATTAGTGAAGAGTCCAATGACTGTTGGATGACTAACTACAGCGGTGGAAGTTATCGACAATTGACAGCGTCGATAAACTCTTTTGATAGACTACATTAATCGTGTAGCGTAGCATCGGATCTGCAAAAGACCACCTCAGAATATCCAAGATATTCAGAGTTGAAACTAGGTGCTTGAATGGGATGTAGGCTTAGGTCAATCGCCAGCTTACAATATCTCGGAAATCATGAATGACGCAATACATACGTACGGTTGGTGTGATTGGTTTGTGTCAAAAAATATACAAATCAAGCGACCGCCTGAACACTAATTTGGCTCCAACAAAACAACTAACATGAAACCGCACGGTATTACATGGACAATACTTCGGTGGGTCGATAACGCACCATGTCATCAACCTAGTTGTTTTCATGTTTAACCGAATCTACCAGTTTCAGCAAGGTCGGCTTCAGCTGCTGAATCTGCGAAGTCTCACAGAAACAGGTGACTGCAACTTTTTCTACGACTTAAACGATTCTGCCGCCCAGCCCAATCGAGTGTATCGAAAAACCGATCCAAAAGATAGCCGATGGTTAGTTACGATTAAGTAGCGCGCGATACACCACAAGATCCTTCTCTTAGTTCCATCAACGTAATAGCCAGCTTAAGCACAGTGAAAGAGGCGGGCGCTTAATATTGTTACCCCAGTCTACCTTCAAGCTGAATATACATAGCAACCCTTTGACGTGGTGAAATAGTACCAGCTCGAGAGTGTAGCAAAAATTCTTTAGAAATTGGAGCAGAAAGTATTGAAATTGCCTGCCGATTCGGTCTACTTTAGAGAGCAGTGCGACAAATACTTCTTCCTGTGAGTGTCGATCAGCTGTAACTCCCTAGCTGTTGTGTTCACAAGTCATTTACATGAATCTCAAGGAAAATCGGAACTTCCGTGCCGTCGATGTGCCGCGATTCAGCTCATTTTGGCACGTATTCTCAAACCAGATTAAGCGAACTCTTGAGAAAGCGGTATGGACTAAAGCCCGCCAGTCTACAAGGATATCGTGGAATATCATGCGCGAACTAGTCACTAATGGCTCCAAGCTAATTGCTAGTTTGGCTCCGCAACGCGTTCTCTATTGCCCTGCACGCCGCTGATCATTTCGCAGAAATCGTAGTGAGATCCATAAACAAAGATAAAAGCCGTGACCGGAGAGAAATGCGCCGAGAACGTTAATAGGTAGAAAGAAGAGACTTCCAGTTCAAGTGAAAGTACTCGAGGGGCGAAGGTATCATACTTTGAAACGGTAAGCAAGCGAAATAGAAAGGTGTTGCCCTCCGAAGCTTCTGCCGAAACGAGAACAAGCAATGGGTCAAAACTAGACTCAGATTAGGCAAAAATGCGCGCGAAAGGCGGGTCTATTATTGTGATTATGCTTAATCGGTGAAAGCGTTCATCGGCCATGGAGGACGCCATTGCAGCGGTAAAAGGTGACCGCTCCTGAAAAGATGTCACGATTTCTGAGACTGAGTATCGGAAAGCTATTAAACCAACCTCATGATAAAATATCGACACATCGATAGACGCAACGCATTAGTGAAGTCAGCGTTAATGTCATGGATGGGAAATTGGACAGCGCGAGTAGCAGACACAGAGCTACCGCTTGTGTCCGATCTCACATATCCATGAGCAAGGTGCACTGGCGGAGGAAGTGAGTGCACGGTGATGTCGCCGCATCGGAATATCCAATGTGCGCTTGAACCTATATTGTGTCAAATACGTAAGCATTGCATCTTGATCTGAAAAACAAACGGTCTAGGAACAGTGTTGGCGCGACATCAGTTTAGGGTACCACTTTAGATAACGCTGAGCAGTTTGAAAAACGGTTCAGATGCAAATTGCAATGAATAACACGGGAATGCATGTTGATGGGAAGTATATTGAGTATCGCGCCTGGTCACAGGGTCTTAACACGGACAGCATATATAGGTAGACGATTTCACATGGCAGCACTAAAGGGCTTTCACATACAGTTCGTCTAGTAAGGTAGGCAATTTCCATTAAAGACGTACACCAGGCGGCAGTTGATGATGGAACCACTTCTCGAAACTTATCCCCTGGTAAGCCTATGTATTGCATCACCTAAAACCGGTTAATTGCATCTTCAAGCCAGTAAATGAGCCGGTGGCATCGGGTGGCTATGCACCCTATCATCAGTAGTACCACGAGCAGCAATACACGTGCGGAATTAACACAAGCGTAAGAACGCAGTATTGGCTCGTGGCCGAACGACGCAAGTTTGTATCAGGCAACGTGTATTTTGGCAAGAACGTGTACAGGTAGCTGAGGCCAAGCCACTAGTGAGTGGGTAAGCGATAGACAAACACACGCACATGGTTGGGACAGTCAACGCTGGTGTGAATATCTGACTGGCAATATTGACTCATGCGACACAACCTGACACATTACGTGAAACAAAAAATATAAAACAACGCACGATCTGAAAGCAATTACGGATACCTGCTTAGAGCCTGATGGAATGAGAATATGCGTTGGCGGATTTGTGGTGGTTAGGGCCGCGAAATCGTCATTAGCTAGACCAGTGAGTTCAGCACCATGCGCAATCATCTGGCGCAGAGTTCTCTGAACATCCACATCCTTTGCCGGAAGTTCATCTGACACTTGGAAAACTGTTCCAGTAAACAAGGAGCTCAGATGGCGAAGCTTTGGGAGACGAAAATGGTGTTTTTGTTTCTATAGAAGGTTAGAGGAAACAAATGGATTCGATAAAGCCAAGTATAGGTACTAATGAGCCTCCATAGACAGCGACGATCAACAGTACCGCGTACCAAAGTGGACGCCCATGAATCTTAAGTACTAGCAGATTGGAGAAGAATACCACACAACGATGTGGTCGTGTAGCGTATGCGAAATATAGCCACAAACTAGGTGACTTGCGCCTGGAATTCTGACCTAAATAGCAGTGCAACAACAGAAATCATCGAGCTGTTAACACCAAAAACAAATAACATCATGTGTGCAAAATGTATGATATCCACGATGAAGAGCAATATTAGCCATATTCTGATGACAGAAAAGGGAGCTTGAGTCACTATTAGCACACAAATGTATCGGTTAGATAATCCATCAACAGTGGGTAGAAATATGAGCAACCCATTGATCTCCTGACTCAGAAGAAAGTTAAACCTTTGGCAGATAATCCGTCAACAAGGATGCAAAGAGTTGGTCAACTTAAGGACAACATGCATACAGTCAGACAGACAAACAAGAGCTATGGTCACGATTTCAAACTGATAGTACTCATCTATGAAGAACCATCGAACACATCGATTGATAAGAGATAAAGGGGGAAAGTCGCACCAAGATATATTCAGCCAAAATTTCCTGAGAATGGAAAGTTACGAATGGATGTTCACATGCCGAAACGGAGAGTATAACTGGAAGTAAAAGTGGTAATAGCCGGATATGAGACCGTGATCAAACTCTAGAAGACGGAAGGGAGGTTGAAGGGGGAAAATTGCGGGGACGAAAAGCTGAGTCATAATCTAGAATAAATGGAAAAACTCGCGTCTCACTGAAAACTGCACGAACCTCTTCAGAGTGATCGACAAGCTTGTGTTTCGATTTCGCTTTGCCTGATTCGTCATTCTTTTTCTCGGTCTCAATGAGGAATGGGTCAGGTCGTTTCCCTGCAATCCCTCGAGAAGCGATCTGCAGTGCATCTAACCAATCGGAACGGCTACCCGTCTTCTCTGATAGTTGGAAAAGTTCCTTCACGTTTGTTGCCTCTTTCCACGATTTGTCCTCTCGAACTTTAGCAAATCGAGGGAATCGGATGGAAATGCCTTGTGTCTCATCTCCTGATGATCCAGCGGTGTGTGTGTTAGCGCGGGAAAATTCGGCACCAGTTATTTCCCACACCGGGGCGGTCTGTGGCAAAGAAGGTGGAAAAAGAGTATAATGCATATGTAATGAAAGAAAAGCTAATAATTTGAAAAATGTAAGCTAATAAATGTCGGGTAGCCAAGGGGATAGAACACCGCAGCTAAATAATAAGAAAAACCGAAGACTACACTAGACGGAATGTCAGGTCAAAATGACGTGATTGTCAATGCAAAGCAAGGTGAATACAAATAAATAAATGGTTTATACATCGACAATGCGAGGCACACCGCTAAGTAACGCTGCACATGGGAAGGTGGGCAGCGTGAAACAAAACAGAGAGATAAAGTAATCTCATGATAATCCAACTACCACACAAAGTGGCATTGGAATGGCGAAAAGCAAGAACACATTGTTTCCCGACAAGTGTATATATGACTAAACAGTACACTGGAAGCTGAGCATAAGGGTCCCTCATGCAATATGTCGAAGCCTAAAAGATTGACGTCGGTCCACATGAACACCGGATGTTGCAATCGTACAACAAGGTCTAACAGAACAAGGAATGAATGATATGGGATATTAACGTCAGCTGGTTCGATTTACACATCCGCTTAGATATGCAACATCGGTTAGACAATCAAGCCTAAACGGAAAATTTTGCAGTGGGGTAAGCAAATTCAGCGCGAAACGCAGACTCAGAAAAAAAAACGGGTGAAAAGAGGAGGGATTGTAGTAGAAGGTAGCTGATACCTACAGTCCCCCAAACCAGGCTAGATTAAACGAAGAGCGGGACATCGGGTTAGATGGGGTATGGATATGGCTGTAGTTTACACAGAGCTCGGTGTACAAACAAGGCAGCGTTGGCCACTTATTGTGTGAGAAATGAATGAGTGAGGGTTTTATAATAACAAGATAAAGTGACGCCAAGCAATCTGCCAAAAATGTTGGGAACATAAAAGTCGAAAGTGGATGATCCATCAACAGGAGCGATCAGATAAAGCATTTGTATTCGCTCCGTAGAGCATTGTAGCGTCAAATCGGTAAAGATGTCGCACTTTCCGAGGGACTGATCGTGAATCATCGTAGTTAGGGGTGAGTAGGAGCTTAGAGTGCGGTAAAAGGGCACTAAACCAAAGACATTTGGGTTTAAAGCATAAAGCGGCGTTCGAACTAGCAGGGATGTAGTCTAAAAAACCCATGTACCATGATAGAAATAAGGAAAAGGTAATAAAAAGATTCCAATATCTCGGAAAGCACTGTAGTATTAAGATTAAAGTTAGGCAGGTGGATAACAGAGACGCAGCATAGGGCAGTGCCCAGTAGGCGATTCTTGCTTGCGCAAAAAGCAAGAACAAATTGTCGGGAACGCCACATTTTAGCTCGTGGGTGAAGCATTAAGCTTGTGGGAAAGTGATAAAATTGAAAAATGGAGAGAGAATTAACAAGAGATAAAACAAAAAGCACCGAGGAAAAAAGGCCAGGCGACAATTGGAGGGTCAGATTGAAGTGCACATTGTGTGATTAGATTACGACATACAATATAGTGCAGACCGTGATTCCCAGTGAAGAGAACTCTTGTCCGTCGATCATTAGGACCGCAGCTGAAGCAGTCGGAAACTGGGTGTTGCCTACCCGAAAACACTCCATGACGCGTTGCTTATTTGATTTCATCAGGTGAAGATAGTAAGTTTCGAATTTGGGACAGTTGAAATATTAGCGGAAACCTGCAGCCGAAATGTTAGGAGATGCTTTCGAGAAAAAGAAAGGAAGGGAGTTGCTAGACAAGAGACTTTGAACAGGCATGATCTGAATCCCAAATGACTTTGGGTTTCAAGGAAGTGAAGGAATTGTACCCGTAAAATGGTATAAATTTATCAGAGACAAACCAGAACAGTCATAATCAAATTGGCAAAACAGCGCAAAAAGACGATGACAAAGAATGAGGCACTGTTTGCCATCCAAATACTAACTTCTAAGGTCAGATAGCTGGGCAAATCTAGGTGCTAACCGGATCAAGTTGTAGAATTGACCTCGGAGACAAGAAGAACAGCAAATACTGCAAAGCGATGGCAATAAGGTTGTAATGTAATCAGAGTAACTGTGCGCATGAAAAATGGTCTGTGTGTTGAGAAAAGTAAGAGACCAGTCGATACTTATCGCTCGTGCTTGCGAAGTACTAGCCACATTAGGCGAGAAGGCGTTAGGTGGTGCTTGAAAACAGGACCCATTGCACGACATTTCTAACTCATAACCATCCGTTTATTACTACTTTACTAATGGTTAACTCAGCAACTACGGTCGCTAACACTACTATTTGTATTGGCGGAAACAATATTTATTAGTGGTATAACAATGATTATCATAATCTTCAGGCCCAACAAATATATGTACCAGCGGTAGACATCCGGCTCAATGTAGGCGCAACAGAAAAAAGTAGTCGGGATTTTTCGAAAGTAGTCCTCACAGTGTGGTGAGTATTCGCTCACCTTTGGATCTTCCACAATGAAATCAGGCACCAACGACTTGGACACGAGAAGCCAATCGGGAACCTCGGACTAAATTGAAGCAAAAAGACAAATAACTTATTCAGTGAAAGGAAAACTCCAGACACGCGGTTAAAAGCATTAATAGAGGTGAACCAGATTGATCTACACTCATTTTCGTCTGCCCGTTGTCAGCAGGAAATCCATGAGTAAGCTAAACTGGGTGTATCCAACACATGCTATCGGCTAGATGGTGAACACTTACTGAACCAAACTGTTGATCGCACCAGGGAGCATTTGCTTGTTTCGGGCATAAACACAGCACCATGATGGCTCAACAAGCCGAAGAGGTAGGTAAACACAAGTGCAGATCTAAGAGTGGCACGAGCTATAAACGTGATAACTACAGTATCGCTTCATACTAAAATGTAGAAGGACTGCATTAAGCACACGATAGGGTGGATTTCTTGGTAAGCTGGGCTCAATTGCAACCATTGAGTGTTATCCAGCATCAGTAAACATATAAAATTGCACTACTTATATCATTGAAAGTAAGCCAATCTAACTTGAAATTCAACCCTCGCAAATGTCAATGGTCGTCGAACAGTTAGTCAAGATCAGATTGACTGTACGACATCCTGCAGTAAAGATACGGCGAGGTTAATTGCGGAAGAAAGTGGAAGCAAAATAAAGTAACAGACGTGGAGGCTACACTGGATATCATTAGCTCCATCGCTCCAAAGGAACAGACACGTCTCGCCACACTGTTACTGATGTAATCTTAATTGCTGATGAAACGTCCGCAACAAAACAGTTCGGCCGTCACCTGAATAACCTGAACTATCAGTTTTCGGTTCCATACATGAACGGATACATAGGGCGAAAAACACAGGCTCCGCCGGTGGGCCAGCTTACAACGGACACATGCGGGCGGACAAGATGCTGTTGAGCAATAGTTCCTAGATAACTCGGTTGACGTTTGACCGAAATGCAAAACAAAAGCAACAGACCCAAAGAGCCACTTGTAAGAAAGCGACCGAGTAAACGATGAGTGCTAGGCATCTAGTGCTCAAGCGGAGTCTCACTTCAAATAGCACGAGGCGTTGTAAACCAACAAGCGTTACAAAGATGTCACCTTGATTATGTAGCACAAGTGCAACATGACAAATTGAGGATACATTCGTTCATTATAAATGCAAAATAGAAGACCACTTGAGATAATATACAGGGATACAGGTAGGACAGTTAGTGAGCGGCTATGGAGCGTGCACCTAGACACACCATCAACGTGATGCGATGGGCTATGCAACTGTCCGATTCCCTGGGCAACAGCGGGTGGTCCCTCTTAAAGGATTAATGGCTACTGAGCAGATAAGTCTAATTTCCTGAACTAGCAGAGTGAGAGGAGACTTAGGGGTGGAACCTATCTGAGAAAAAAACATTGCCTTTTCAAAATGGCTAAAAAGATTCTGTACGTTGTCTCTGAGATAGACAAGGCAGTCGAATGAAGAGCCTAATCGTTTATCCGCCTAGGCTTTAATACCCCGGCGGCATCACAGCAGGTAGACAACCAATTGTGTTGCATGCCATATGTCAAGTGGCCCTCCGTGCATCAAAAAGTCAAAATCTGGGCCTCGATCAGAAATTCATTATTCATAGAACGCAAACTCATTTTATATCTCGAGTCAATTAGAATCACTCACAGATGCAGAACAAATCTCCTTTCTATTACATTCTTGGTCAGCGTTCGAGCTTCGTTCAATGTCGATCCAAATCAATTGCATGCTATCCTTCAGTTCGCCTCTGTAGCGATCGACCAGCTTTCAGACTGTTAGTCCAAAATCGTTAAGCTCCACCGATCGCTAAGCGACGGGCATCTAAGTGTAGTATCTTACCATCACACCATAGACATATGGATGTATGAATGTTGTTGATGAATGCGCTATTACACAAGAAAGTCACAAGCAACAGAACGCTTCTCATGGGTCTCCACGAAGATACAACGCGGGATTCGATGTCTCAGTTGGGCTGTACAGTTAGGAATATAAGCAACTTATATTCCGTTACCCCTTTACCTAATGCAGCCAAATTGTGAACGGTATATGATGACGTTAGAGCTAACGAAGGAAAAACACTCACCTTGGAGATCTTTTTCATTTTGAGGCTTTCTTGAAGCTTTCGGAGTAACTCATCGGTAAACCCGTTCCCACACTTTGTCACTGTAGTGAAGAGCTTGGATTCCGGATCGTACGCACCCATTAGAAACACAGACATTAGACCGGCTAAAAGAAATAGGTGCAATGACAAGGACATTGTGCTCTCGGGTAGAAAATGTACGATTTCAGTACGTGCGACGTACGGAACGAGTGAAGAGGACAGATAAAACTGTGATACTTTTGCAACTTGCATCATAATTACACAGTTGGTTGCGACAAACGACGAAATTTCCAGTTCCTGGGACAGTATACGTTAACAGAGTTGCCTACCATAGAGTCATGTGTGGTTTGTGTACTCAATTCGAGCAAATCACATACTGTATAATAAGAGGGATGGGTGCCGCCGTCCCCACCGTGCCGGTCTACATACCATCAACACATTTCACGCGTATAGGTAAACCTATGTGAATATGCGATGTGAGTGCAGCTGTCTATAGTGCATTCAATCTGTGCGTGGAAGCCGAATCTCGAAACTCTCACTAGGGTAAAATGAGGGAACAGGCCAGTTGGTAGGTCTGCATATGGATGTGGATGGGAGGAAAACTGCCCACGAAGGAACATGCCAAGTACAGTCAAAAACAGAGTGGATCCAGTCATTATGAGCAGCGATTGGAAAAGCAGTTACAGGGCTGGCATACGCGTTGTCAAAACCAGCCGCTAGCCATGGCGCTCAGTGTGAATCAACACCATCAACAGTTGTGCATAAGCCAATTGAAATGATGCTTCCCTGCTGTACAACCACGGTGACCTACGGAACGAAGAATAAGAGGGAGCAAGCGGGAACTACCGTAATACTCTGTTAAATGCCAGGCAATCGTGGAAAGGTGTGCGTGTGAGGTGGTGTTAAACAGTGGATCAGAAAGGTGTATATTTCGGAATCGCATTAAGTGGGAAGATTATAACAAATGACGACGGAGGAATTTGGAAATGTGATGAATTTTTCTGCTAAACAATTTAGAAAGCTGTTTCTCCAACAGTAATCTCAAATGAAGGTTAAAACGAAAATGATCGAAAATTTAACGCAATGAGTTCGCAGTCACAGGAGCGTGACGTGGGACACGCTGGCCAATTTCGTTGATCTCACGAATGCTATCATTGAATGCAATTATGACGCGGATTGTGGATGCACATTTGAAGAATGGTTCAAGCGCTGGGAAGATATGTTCCGGACGGGTTTCATTCGTCAGGAGAACTCCTAAAAGGTGCGATTGCTACTTCGCAAGCTCAGTACAAGTTTAAAGATCACGTTCTACCCAAACAGCCGAAGGATCTGACGTTCGACAAAACAGTATCACAGCAAATGAAATTTATGTCAGTCAGTATCCTTGTTTAGTATTCGTTAACAATGCCTGAAAACTGTCAAACACGAAACGGACGATTTTGGAGTCCTAGCAGACATGATTAACCGTGAGTGTGAGCGTTTCAAGCTACACACTTAGACGGACGACCGGTTTAAGTGTCTCATTTTTGTCAGCGCTCCACAGTCCTCTTATGGTGCTGAGATCCGTACGCGACTTTCAGCTAAGCTGGAGCAGGATTACGATCTGACACTGAAGGCCCTTGTAAGTGAATGCAAGCACCTGCTCACACTAAAACACGACATTGCTCTGATCGAACAAGAATAACCTCGCACCACTCGGTACCGCGAAGTCCGTGAAAATAGCCCGGACTGTTAGCCCAAGCAAACCGTTCAAGAGCACTCCGAACAAACCTCCCACAACATGCCCGTCATGCGACGAATGGGATTTCGCACGTTCTTCCCCATTTAGACGTCATATTTGTGAAACGTGCCCTAAGCGTGGCCATAAGGAGAAATCCTGCAGTTGGGTCTGGCCGAAGAACGTGAAGAATTCCTATCGAGAGGAATTCCACTCTGTCCATAGTTGCCGCACTCCAAAGTTAGTAAACCGAGACGACGATTCATCAGTGTGTTGATCAATGAGATCCCAGCGAAACTGCGATTCGAAACGGCCTTGGACATTATGATTATTTCCAGGAACATATGGAATCACATAAGGAGGCCAAAGATGGTCAAGTCTCAAAAAGTGGCTCATAATGCATCTGGTGGTGTGCTAAAATTGGTGGGCGGACTTAATTGCAAGATTACATTCAAAGGTGTGGAAGAGTCAGGGAGGTGCTACATCTCAGACAGGTCGAATTTGAACCTTCTTGATCTCGACTGTATAGTAAAGTTACAACTCCTTTGAATCAGACCGGCAATCGAGTCCGAGCAAGTCCAGACCTATCGTCTAAGTCCGTCGAAAACATCACACGTACGCTGAAGCTAAAATTTGCCTGTGTTTCAGGACGGCTTAAGCCATTGCACGAAATTCAAGACAAAGCTGAGCTTGCGACCAGGAGCCAAACTAGATTTTAAGGCTAAAAGACCGGTACCATATGCAGCCATGTTGACCGTTGATGAAGAATTCGATCAAGTGGAACGAGTCGGATTCATCACAACCGTCAACTACTCATAATGGGCCGCACCTATTGTCTCAATGAAGAAGGTAAATGACAAAGTGGGTGTCTGCGCAGATTTCTCAGCTGGACTTAACGCCGCGCTGGACGACCATCAGTACCCAGTACCGGCGCCAGAAGATATCTTTGCAAAACTGATTGGTGGTAAGTGCTTTGCATTGCTTGATCTGTTCGATGTCCATCATCAAGTGGATGATGCTGATGATGATTTGTTGATGACCAAAACATATCGTGGGATATTCCGACCGTTTTCCTTTTGATATAAAAAGGGCGCCAGCCATTTTCCAAGAGTGGATGGATACCATGCTAGCAGATGGAAGACCGGAAGAGCTATTTAAACGACTGGATGAACTGCTTGGTTGATTCCAGTCGTACGGTTTCCGGATCCGAGAGGATAAATGTACATTTTACACGCCGACTATCAAATACCTTGATTTTATCCTTCAAAGGAATGGACGTTGATCAGATCCGACAAACGTAAAGCCATAGGGAAAATGTCCCCACCAAAAGACCTACAGTCCCTGCGTTCCATTTGTGGGCTCAGCAGCCACTACAGCGCATTCTTACTTGAGATGCGCCGCCTGGGTGCCCCGCCAAACAAGCTGCTAGCCAAAGGCCAAACTTGGAACTTGACATCAGAATGCCAGAAAGCCTTTGGACGAGTCAAGACTGTTGTCCCCAAACTTGCTTTTGACTCATATAGATCCCTCAAAAGAGGTTGTTCTAACCACAGATGCATCAAACCATGGGATTGGTGCAGTTATTTCACACAAGTACTCCGATGGATCTCAAAAAGCAATCGCCCATGCCGCAAGGGCACATAGGAAGGTCGAGAGAAATTACAGCCAGATAGAGAAAGAATCATTGGTCATAGCGTTCGCTGTGAAGAAGTTCCACAAGATACTGTACGGCCGCTGCTTTAAGCTTCTGACATATCACAAGCCCTTGCTGGCTATCTTCGGTTCGAAAAAGGGCATCCCGGCCTACACAGCCAACCGCTTACAACGTTGGGCTCTTATCGCAATAGAGTATGATTTTAGATCCAATACCAGTCGACAATTTTCATTGGCCAAGTGGATGCACTCGCATGCCTAACTGATGCCGGTGAGCAAGAACATGAGGACACAGACATTGCGTCGGTCAAGATCGAACCTGACATCAATTTCCTAGTAAGGGACGCATTGCACGATCTACCAACTACCGCAGAATATTTACGAACCGAAACGCTTCGGGACCCAGTACTCATGGTCTCACAGTTCCATAGAACAAGTTGGCCACATTCATGTTCATCTGTCGAGTTGCAACAGTATCACTAGAGGAGACATCCACTCTCTATTGGGGACGGCTGTACAGTATTTTCAGAAAGAGTTGTCACCCCCAAGACCCTTCAGGAGCGCGCTATTCGGCAGTTCCACGCCGGGCAAACTGGGATTAACCGGATGAAGGCACTTGGCCGCAAATATGTATACTGGCCTTTCATGGACAAATAGCTAGAAGAACTGGCTAAACGCCGCCAAAAGTGTAAAAGTCTTAAAAATGTCACAAAAAGCGGAGCTCCATTCATGGCCAAAAACTATGAAACTATGGTGCCGTATCTATGTAGATTTCGCAGGACCGATCAATGGCCGAAATTTCCTTATTATAGTCGACTCATACAGCAAGTGTTCTGAAGTATTTCTCGTGGATAGCACAACCACCAATGCTACCGTATCAAAACTGCGCCAAATATACAGCAGATCTGGTTGTCCATAGACAATTATAACTGACAACGGCACACAATTCACTTCGGCAGCTTTTACGGAGTTCTGCAAGCGATGCGCACTTTCGCTCCCCGCCGTCTAACCTACAGTTGAATGGTCAGCTAGTAAGTTTGTCGATATGTTCAAGCTGGCTCTCCACAAATCAGAAGGGGAGGGACGTAGAGAGGTGATTGACGGATTTCTTTTCCTCTACCGACCAACACTGAATCCACAAGCGCCGGACGGAGTTTCGCCAGCACAGGTTAAGATGAAAAGAAAGCTTTGTATGCCCTTCGATGCCTTTTGACCGAGCCCAGAGGCCTCTGTTGGTGAAAGGAACCGTAGAATAAGCGAGATCTTAACCGACGGCATGAGGCAAAGAAACAGTTGTTCAACCTGGACAAACAGTGTTGGTACGTGAATATCGGAAAGGCCACGCGAAGTGAACGCCAGGGTCATGTATGATGTGATCACGGGAATACAGATTTGGGCCCGGCATGCAAACCAGCTATGGCCAACGCTATGCTATCCACAAGAAGCAAAGCCTGCTGATCTCCCGTCTGGATTATTGGTGGAAAGCTTCAAATTGACAAAGGAGCCCATGGACGACTGCTGTCAATCGAGCAAGGAAACAAGACCACAGACGCCGGAACAAGCTTCTCGAGCACTTCAGCGGAGGTGATGAACCAACAGATAGAGAACATCGTCCCGAAGACTGCATGTTAATCCCAGGCTTTTATCATGTACCGCGGACGCCGCCTCAGGTGCCCGAGAGAAGAAAAGAATTCCCGGGAAATACAATATTTCAGCGATTATTCGATTGTTACCGATCATCGTATCGATTTCGAACTTTACGGTTTGTTCTAACGCTTGCAAGTAACCCCCAACCTCCTGAAGATCGGTCAAATCCGTAAGAAACTGCTACCCTTGACAGTCGACCTACAAATTTCGGATTTCGAAGATCAGTAAGACTTATAAATATAGCCAAGGTCTGCCACAGTTTTACGGTATTTTCGCTGACAGCGATTAAAGCGTTATTTGTCAAGGTCATTGGCATCCTGATTTTTCTTGCGGTGGGGTTAAAGTCTTTTGGAGCAATAAAGTGCGTATTTCGGAATCGCGTCAAATGGGAAGATTTTATCAAGGCGCATTCAGTTTACCCTTTTTGCCAGTGCCGTAGTAGGCCCCAAGGACAATCAAATCCACAGCATCTGCCATGGAACCTTCAGCGAGGTAATCGCGTTTAATTTTCAGCCAGTGACGTTTTCCCGGTTCATAAACGCTCTGAAATAAAAAAGAAAAATGTGATGAACCACAGGACTAAGATAACTGTGATGAACGTGAGAATAGTGCTGATGTCCATCGCGTCGATGAAATTACCCCAGTAAACACGGTCGATGGCGTACGGAGTTGGAGATTCCGACTGTATTTTTGTTAGAACTTAGCGAGAAGAGAAAGATTCATGATAAGCAGAGAGGAATCCGCACAAGCGAGTCATTGAGCCCAATAGGCGGAAGCACAAATGTCAGTCAATGGTAAAAGTCCTTCTGTCGGGAAAGGATGATGGCGCATTTTACACACATCAAAACCCAGTGCGAAAGTGTGACAAAATGTGAGGTGCTCAAACGTGTACTCTAAGGCATTTCAAGACAACACTCAAGCGGTCACCATGAGAACGCAAGCACGGCGTGAAACTGTGCTGCGTTAACAAAGTACAACTTGAAAACTATTTATGTAATTCCCGACCCATACGACATTGAGTGAGAAGAGATTCTCAAATGGTATGGCAAGCAACTTATTCAAGTGTACTGGGTTGACGAGGTATTTCGGATATGGCAACAGCGGCAATTGTTACCTATCGCTCCAGGCGTGGAAATGACGCGTTGTCAATCGTTGTGACAGACTACGATTAGGTTAAGCAACTTAAGATAAGTTGCAGCAATGTAAATCGGCTTCAAATGCATCGAATTTAAGTAAAGGCGTAAATAAGCCCAATGTAGTAGATAAGTTGGGTGAACAAAGCATGGAGATACAGAGTAAGGCGTTTGCGATCTTCTATTCAACATTGCTGTTAATATACGGTTAATTTGAGGGGGCGCCGCGACACTTTGTCCGTGGTCGATTTCAGCTTCATGACAGCGGATCGAGCCGTCGTTCCTACCTGCCTCTGGTAAACCGTACTTCACCATCTGCATTCTGCTCACCCCGGTATGAATAGAATGAAGGTAGTCGCCCGCAGTTATGTGTACTTGTCTTGCATTGACAATGACATTGAAGATTTAGCGCACTGTTGCTCAATATGTCAACAAGCATCCAAGATGCCACCACACCAACCCGCAGTTCCTTGGCAACCCAACGAGAAAACCGTGGTCTCGAGTGCGCATCGACTCTGTTGGTCCCATCGATAGCAACTCTTACGTGGTCGTGGTTGACGCCTACTCCAAATGGCCTGAGGTCGTCGCCGTCAACACAACAACCGCATACGCCACGCTGGGAACTCTACAACGAATCTTCAGTCAACATGGCATTCCCGAGGTCCTGGTGTCCAACAAGAGCTCTCAGTTTACGATTTACATGTTCGAAAACTTCTGTCGCCGGAATTGCATCCAACACCTACACTGAGCGCCCTATCATAACCAGCCTGATGGTCAAGCGGAGAGGTTTGTTACATCTTCATGAAGGTACTCTTGTGGGGAGGGGACCGTGGATGAATGCATTCAAGCGTTTCTGTTCTTTTATCCGTCCACATCAAATCCAGCCGTTCCAGCAAGCCAGTCTCCAGATGAAGCATTGATGGGCCGCATGCTATGCACCACTCATGGAGCGCACATCCTGACCGAAAAGCCACCAAGTCAATCTAATGCCTGCAACAACGATCATGAATTCGTCGTTGGAGCCCCGTTACACGCCCGTGACTACCGAGCAGGTCATCCACGATGGACTGAAGAAACAGTGACGGCCCGTCGAGCTGATTTGCTGCACGACGTCGCCGTGGGCGATGACACGCGGGTCCGTCATCGCAAGCAAGTTCGATCGTGACACGGAGAACCCTCCAGGCGAGCCATTCGTCCTGTGCATCTGCCGCAGCACATATTGCAACAGAACGGAAGAGGCCGTCGAAACTGCCCAGTCACGGCAACGTGTTGAAAACCCGCCTTACCGACGAACAGGAAGAACCCGTATATCACCGAAATCACTCCAGGTCAATTCTGGGCAGAAATGGTAAGCCTATCTTCAAAAGGTTTTGCGGGAAAGTCAAACGATCCCGCAAATGCAAATGCGCTGCGAACTCCAACACGCCAACTGCGCCAAGAGGAGTTTATTTTCCTACCCACAACGCAGCAGTGTCCAGCTAGTCCAAGCCAGTCTACAACCGTGCCAAAGTGAACAATGGTATTTAGTAAACCACAAACATGATGTGGCGATTCATTTCTCTCACAAAATGAACCGCTGTACCAAATATGTAGGAAAAAAGGTGCTAATCTACTAGAAGTCAAATTGGATTGCGCTTCGCCAGTCACTATTGTGCCCTCCAGTTTCTACAAACGTTACTTATCCGAGTACCTTTTGCAGCCGATAGCTCACTCATACTGGAGTTACTGAGGCATTAATTTAACTATTGTTGGTTTCATTATCGTACCTCTCCGGATAGGCCTAGTATCTTCGGAGCTTTCGGTATGTTTAGCCATATAATAAGCGGTCTCTGCTCGGGAGAGACGCAATGGTCGCGTTAAAAGCGGTGCCATCCTTTGTTCGCATGACTGTTGCTTCTATTGTGATGTGTCGCCGCGGAACTGCTCAAAACCCATGACCACAGATGAGGAGAGTAAGACGAGCTGAGACAGAACGGAATCGCATGCATGAGGAATACTGCGGTACAAATAGGGGAGAAGCAAAGCGAATAAAACACATTGGAGCCAATCAACAATATATAGGAGATGCTAATTGATACTGATCAATGAAACCCCAACAGGGTTCACGTCTTGAGTTGAATTTGTGACCCTACGTAGGGACGCATTGAAACTCTGACTGAGTTCTATGTTCAAAAGGCGACGATCGATCAAAGGCTCGCTTGCTTCGTTTCGCTAACACATTAGAATAACATACTGGCAAGAGTGCTATCGGAAGCTATTTCAACCTTCTAGAGGGTGTATATCATGTTATGTTCAACGTATCTAGCAGAAACAGGTTGCGAAACATGTTTCCATTGGTCAACATTGACCGATTCGACTCGCGAAACGTCAAGGTGTCTCAGCAGCCTTGCAAGACAACTTAGCGAACGATCAATTGCTCCGATGGTGTTTTGAAAAAAAACGGTACTGTCAGGATATACAATGGACTAGAAGGTCTAAACAGGCAGATAGTCGCCGATTTGTGCTACCTTATTGTGATGAGCTAACAGTTCGTTTTTCCGGTGGAACAGTTTTTGTCAAAACTGGATTTAAGAAGTGTGTTCTTCCACATGCCTTTAATTAATGACTCCAAACTCTTTAACGCCATCTTAGCCCCCAAAGGATTATTTCAGTACAAAGTTTTACCCATGAGTCTGAGCTCGGCACCTGCTGACTGACTCATGCTCTGGCAGGTAACGATGGACATGTTGCATACTTGGAGGATATTTGTGTCTTTGGTCGCTCGCCGGAAGAGCATGACGAGTGTTTACATAATGTCCTTCACTGTCTCAGAGAACTTGACCTGCGCTTGAACACGAACAAGTGATCATTCAACGCCCTGGGATTCAATTTCTAGGATACACCATTTTCCGCAGTGGCATTTGCCCGAGTAACGAGTAACGTGCGCTACTTAACAGAACTAAAGTCTTTTCTGGATATGTGCTCTCACAGCTAGTGATATGTTTGCGATTTCGCAACCTTGGCATATCAAACTACGGAAATGGATAAAAAATGGTCACTAGTTGCTTGATCTTTGACGCATTGAAAAAACGGATTTCCTCTGCCCCATTTGACGTATCATGTCGTACTTTTGTATCAACTGACGCCTATGATGTCGGTCTCGGTGGTGTTCTATCACAAGTACAAAACGTTGAAGTGAAGTTTATTGGTTATGCTTCTCGGAAGTTATCAGACTAAGAACGTCGTTACTCCGCCGGTGAGGAAGAGGCTCTCGCTTGGGTGTGGGTTTGCGAGAATTGGCATCTTTACCACATTGGCCGCCGTTTCATTTTAAGAACTGACCACTCCGATCTCACCGCCATTTTCAGGAATGAATCTAATGGGTTCCACCCGACGCGAATCAATCGTCGGTAAGCCAGACGTATCAGCAACGATTTGCAAATCGTGGCAAAATTAGATAGCGGATAAATGCTCCCGCTAACCTTTGGAACTGGAAGATGGGAAAATATCACTCAGAGAAGCGGTAATGGCGTCCTAGTCTTAAATCTGATTTGTCTTCCCCGACGATTAATAAACTACAAACTGGGAATGTCAGAGATGTGATGTTGCAGCGGCTCACGATGTGAGTTTAGCATGGTTGGCCGAAGAACAATAAACTTTGCCGCGTGTTCATTCCGTATTGTGCAATCCGAGAGGAGAGATGGTTGTTTGACGCGACGCCCAGTATTTATGTCTCCATAGTCACTGGTTAACAAAATAACTGCGTGTGCTCATGAGGGTCATCCGGGTATTGTTCGAACTAAGTCCGACCTTACTTCTGGTTGCCACGAATGGCACCAAATACTGAAAGATTTGTGAGAAATTGTCGCACTTGCTGGTCGGCAGATAAAAGTACTCTACCTGTTGAGGCCTCAATACAACCGATAACACACCCGATGAGGCTGTGGTCCGAAATTGCTATTGATGTTATGGGCCCCTTCCCCACTGCTCCCCTGACTAAGAAAATTATACTTTGTGCAACGTGATTTTACAGCAGATGGCCTGAGGTTCATATATGTGACCAAGTAACCTTTTCTGTGACACTGCGATGGCTCAAACATCTGTTCAGTTTCGGAGCACCAGAGGAAGTGGTCACTGACAATGGCCTAAAATTCTGTAGTTACGGTTTCGAAAATTTCCTCCGACATCGTAATGTGAAGCATTCCTGGACTGCACCCTATAATCCTGCAGCTAATGGCTTGGTGGAGCGGCTTAGTCAGTCGCTCAATGAGGAAATATAGGCCACCCAATTAGGTGACGTAGAGTGGGAAGATGCTGTTCTATTGGTGCTGCTATCGTACCGAACTTGTAACATAGAGCTACAGGAAACACGCCGGTGGAACTAATGCTCGACAAGGCCTTGTGCACAAAGTTAATGCTGCATACAGTATGGCGCTCTCAACAAAGCCCGAAGTTCCGAACGGTATAGCAACTTACCAACAATCCTACGACAGACCCTCGATTCCCCTATAGCCGGGTTCTTTTGACCGGATCAAAAATAGAAGTCAATCAACACATGCATGGGGACCTGGCACGCACCGACTGGAGAATAGCTGGATTGTAAACGACCGTCCGCTCCATAAAGAAACTGGACCGGCCTCTCAGTCCAGCCAAGCTAGGTGAAAAAGTCAGACGGGGACTGCACCATCGTCGCGTGAACTACGCAGATCCAATCGGACTTCAAAGCCAGGTGATAAGATACCAACCTGCAGGAAACCAATGTTCCGACGAGAGACGTGGTGCGATTCGCTACCCTGAACTTATCCTGATTAGTTGAACGTTGCGCAGTGCTGATTGCTCGATGCCTGACCTTTAAGACTCTTTTTCGTCCCTTGCTGAGCGGTCAAATATGTTTTTGTCTTTTATCATGTACGTCTGATACATCTGCGCGTTTATGATATAAGAGTAAAAGACAAACAGCCGCTGAATTTATCGAAAATTAGAAAATGAGCGGTCCGTACCTTCTGTTTCCGAGTCAAACCTCTGTGCACTGATAGAATGCGTCTCACGGTATAACAAAGGGTAATGGAAACAAGGTACTCACATGGGATGGCTTCAAAACCAAGCCTTCTAGATTTTCGGAAAACACACGAGCCATCAACTCATTCAGTGCATCCACGTCCTATGGGGAAGGATATAAATACGAATTGACAGAAAACTTGCATGGATGATGTGCTTTTCCGACAGTCGTACGCGGTTAGGAACCTCGCAGAAATACTGTTCCAATGTTGCACGACGTAAAGAAATAGGTCTGCGAATAGAAGCGAAATTGGGATGAGAAAGTACTCGGGGCAGCAGCAACTTGAACGCTGACGTAGCACTTGAATGCCTGGCTGCAAGCAATGATCAAGTGACAAAATACTAGAGAATCCCAAAAAGAGGTTGGAAAAGAAAGTCGAAAACTAAACAGGGATGATAACACTAACAACCCGACTGGTGAAACATGTGGGGAAATCAGTAGGGACTAGTGGAGGCAGTTAGTTAAAGAATAATGTGACATTTGCTGACCGCATCAGATAAATGTTCTGGAGCTTATGAAGTTGTAGAGTGTACCACATAAAACCCATGTGCCCGAGTTATAGAGAGAACATGAGATCGTGAAGACAATCGATGAAAGAGCACACTTTATTAGTTCATGTTTGTATTTGTAATGGTCGCTGTGTGGGAATGTCGATTTACCATCCCCAAGTGGATCATGATATACATCGCAGGAAAACTCGACTATTTGTATCAATGGAACCGAATCCGAAGTGCAGTTACTTGAGATGACGGCAAGAAGACCGAGTTAGTTAACGAGTGGAACCCACATGAAGGGATGGAGCAGAAAATCTAATTCTAGAAGCAGCGATGTTCGGTAAATGCATTTGTCAGCACACAATACTGAAGGAGTCTGATCGCCTAGTGGTTAGGAATTTGGCGGCAGGATTGGCACCGCAGATACCCAAACTGTACAAGAGAGTAAAACGTGGTCGGGTAATGTAGTTTAAAAGATGTATAAATCTTCACTAAATGAGGACCAGCGCCAAGCGCGAGCAAATACCGCATCCTTGCAGAAGCCAATTATTTAAGTGAAGAGACGATTGCATCTGCCTGCGCAAGGTAACAAAAAATATGGTGGAATTCATTCCAGACTGACCGAGTGACGACAAACGGTACATGCCAGTGTCGGTCAAGTGAATTCAGTCCAAAGACTTGGGTCTATGGCTGCAAAGCGCTACAGCTGCGATGATACCTCGGCTCTTCTAGGCGAATCGGAGTAGTCGTGCACACAGCTATGACTGGAGCCGGAACTACATTTGTGATTAAAGGAACCAAATAAACGCAGTATTGTGTCCAAAACGGGAAAAGCCTTAGTTCAACAGTTCGATGGTACGCAGGTCACCATCCATTGACCGTGATTCAAACACAAAAATCCAACGGAAAAGCATCGAAGAAATGAACTCACTTGTCTATCAGACTTTGACCGTTCAAGTATAGGCAATCGAAGACAAAAATGCACACGGAGGCGTCTTCGAACTTGGTGCGCTGCAACATAAGATAAACGTCAGTTAGAATACACGGCACAGCAGATCGATAGAGCCATAATTATAGGCAAATTTGCTTAAATGCATCAAAAGCTGGTGAGTACAATGGCTTGGAACAATAGAAGCACGGTTTAATACAGATAAAAAGGTGCCAGCAGAATGTGAATTTTATAGGAAGAAATTCATCACATCTAGGCTCACTCAGACAGCCGTCACACGCACGGTAAAACACTGTACGCGCGTTTCATCCTTTCGGGAATCGTCAGCAGTGCGCATTCCATCGGGCCCTGGTTGGGCTCGAACCCGCAACTCGACTGTTGCCAGTCCGTGGTTGAGACCACTGAGCTACGAGGGACGGCAACGACCATCGTGAATAAGTTATTAGATGTGATATAGCGCCGCTCACACCGGTGGAGTCATCGAAGCATGCACATTAAGACCCACTTTAAATTCATATGAGATGACGACAAATGGACGTTCGTGTAAGTCGTGCCACCTGGTGATCACGTGCAAGGGGTGAAAGGGTGGAACGTATTCTCTGGAATGAACAGCAGTGAACTCAGGCATGCACTCGCGTTTTGCAGTTGGTGGCGCAGAGGAAGGGGTACATGGGCAACTCAGGCTTTGAACTCAACCAGCAAAGAAGCATAGATGACAGGTTCCGAGAGGGAATGCTACGCTTGACAGACAAGTATAGAAAAGAAATTTCGAATGCATTCCAAACCACTGCACTGCTGTGCCAGCTTGAAATGACCTCTTAGACTCCTACTGTGACTGACCTCCAGCAGCGGGTGGCATGCGTGGTTGGCACTGCTCCAAATCTGGTAAGTCATAATAAGGACCCCACGCAATTGTCGGTACCATGCGCCGTAAACCCCGAGAACTTGCAACCTTCGTTCATAGGGCGAATGATACAGGCCTTTGAAATTCTTGGTGGCCCAGTGTTGAAGTATCTGAAAGTTTGGAGATCTTTCTTCAGTCATCGCTGCCAGACCAGTGTTGCACCCTCTACGTGTGGACGTATGTATGCGTCGACAAACCATCGTAAAATAGACGAGTTTAATCGTCCAAATGCACGCCGCAGGCAGTCCATGTTTTGAATGCCCGGTTTTTGGTGCCTTCTCAGCCTGATTCGAACAGGCTAGATTGGCTTGAAACAAGACAACCAGATCCTTTTCGTCGGTAGATGTTTGAAGCTCCTGGTTACCCAGTTTATAGCAGTGCGCTAGCTGGTGCCGTGACTGCAGCAGTCTACATTTTGCACATTAAACCGACGCAGATTTGGGACTGGCCTTACATAAACGATATTCAGAGTGGATTGAAATAGTGTTGGATCCTCTGGTGTATTTACCGTTTTCCAGACATTGATGTTATTTGCAGAATTTAGACACTTCGGGCTTATAAGGTGTGTTATATCGTTGATGTACATCAAGAACTGTCACTTAAGTAACGATAACTGCGCCACTGACGCATTCGACTTGGACTAAATCTGACAGGGATCCACGCACTATTATCAAGGAACGCCAGTGGAAGAGAAAGCTTCTGATTCAGACAAGACAAACGAATTAGGCTCGCGCAGATACTACATTGCCACACCCCATCAACTGGGTCGGTCGTGTAGAACAACGGACATGCCTCACAACGAGACCTCGATGTCAGTCATGTCGAGTCGTAACCATGTCTCAGTCATATAGATGACATCACAAACCTTTGATCTCGGACGGAGTCACGATCAGAAAACTGTTAAGTAGAGCATTAGTGTACATATAAGACAGCTCCTTGGACATCAAAAGCGCCTGACAAGAGGAGATGAGGATGATGAATTTACTCGGAACGAAAAGGACCGGCGCCTGATTGTTTTTTGTGTGGTTTACCGATGAACAGAGCAACTCCAATATGAATGTAATCCATTCTTGATGTCATCTGCACATGTGGTATGCAGTGCAGATAGTGGTTTCAATGCCTACTGGTCCTTAGCACATGGTCTTCTGAATCGCTGTTGTGATTACACTGAGTCTCGGATGATGTTGTTTCTTCCATCAAGTAGGATGGTTGTAGTGCTCTAACTGCTGCCCCCAACGATAGTTCCTAAGAAAACATGTTGCACAGTTTATACCAGCTGCGCATTAAGTTCACCGACATATGTTGGGACTGAGCCACAAGGTTTAGTAATCGCTGGGCACTACAGTTATAGTAAGGACACAAGAGTAAGCTTGAAATCGAGTGAATTACGACGGCACCAGCAAAGATAGTATCGCAGATGCACCGTCATTCTTCCAGATGATTGGGGTAAGCTTCATCATCGCTAGCATTCGGTAGCCTGGGAGCACACTGAACGAAAAGGATACTTCTTATACTGCCCACGTGAAGGTCGTTCGACTTATTTTTGTCGCGCTGGCGTTCGCTCTATGGAACATCCGGAAACATGCGTATCCCAACCTCTTCACTCTGCAGGCGATAAGCGGACAAAGGCACCGCCTTGACATTACCTGTAGATACCGGTGTTACATTTATTACCCGGTACTCAACGCGATGCACCGAATTTGGATGTCCAGTGATGTGCATTAAGTTAGTCGGCCTGGCCTGAATATTGGTTCAGACAAGTCACAGTGATATTGTAAGAACGTTTGCCTCTTTTCGTTAGGTTCGAGAAAGTGATTGGAGGAAATGGATAAAGTACATAAACTACAGCGAAGCAATTTTGGTATCTAAACGAAGTTCAGTTTCAGCGATAAGAATGTTGTACTCTTGAGATAATGATAGTACAGTTTACTAAAGAAACCGCGGGATATTAAGGGTAGAACAAGTGAGTCCGCCTTATTGTGATGCTTTTTCACTTCGGGCAGAGATACTCTGGCGCAGTTCGGATGGTAATGGCTAGTGCAACAGAAAGATACTAGTCCTAGTTTTACTAAGCTAGCACATACTTGGGATGCACGAAAGGTTTTTATCGAGTCACAGTTGTTGCGGCCATTGTGGTATATCCCGATACACAGCACTCGAAGACTAGTTTTGCATTAACTGCACCCTTATGGTACAAGTAGTCAGCCGCTTTAAAATAAGTGGTAAATCCCCGCCCACTATAGCAACTGGCATATGCAAAGCACGGCAGAGAAGTCAAAAGTAAACCAGATAAGAGAAACGTGGTAAAAAGTCTAACACATAGCCTATGAAAAAATGCCCAACAAAAGAATACAGCAAATTATTAGCAACAAAATCCCATTGATAGATGAAAACGTTGTTTTCAACCAAACGTATGTTTGCAATATTTTCTCTTTAGGCTTGCAAAAATATACGCAAAAAACGACCAAAATATAAACAGATATGTGAGATTCCGAAACAGGATAGCGAAAGTGGATATGTACCTTCGTTTTGCAGAGGATTGCATTGCAAACTCCATCTACCCAGTGAGTTAATGGAAATCCCTTCGTCATGCACGTATCAGGCCGGACAACGTTTGCCTAAAGCGTCTAGCACTCAGCCAGATCGAAACCACACGTATTAAGAGAGACGAGTTAGATCGTGGCCTCAGTCAATTAACTGCCGTAATAAACAGTCTTTCGGGGAGAGATCGCGCGGAGTTAGACAGGTTGGTTAACGAAATTATTACAAAACAAGGCACAAAGCTGCATGCTTCGCTCTCGAAGAGAATAAAAGAAGAGAAACCGACAAAGTGTTTCCCTGCCGAATCCGAAAAGTACGTGTGCAATTTATCTTGCATGGCGCTGGATTGTACCACAATGAAGGGCTTACCGCTGGGCCCTGAGTTCTGTCTCCCCACTAGAAGGAACAATAGATTAGCAATTGAGGTCCACTTTGAAAATCGATAAAGACAGATTTCACTGTTGTCGCCGTCATCAGATTCGCAAGTAGAAGAGTTTAAGTCGCTGCTGGTGCACGCATGCTATCAATATCACCGAGCACGGATAACGCATTAAACCCCGATGAGACAGGAACATATTCAGGCGCCAAACAACCTAGTCGGAAATGAATATATTTTGCTCACTCGACCCGATAAAGGTGCGGGAATAGTCGTCTTGAACAAAGCAGACTATCTTCGGAAAATGCATGAAATATTGACAGATGACACCAAGTTTTCAAAGACGTTGGGCGAAAAAAAAACAAAACAAAGCAGATCAAAAATCAAATCTGCAACTGCCTTAAAAACCTCCGTGATGGGGGCTTTATTAGTGAAGGTGACTCTAAACCAGGTGACAGCATGAGCGCAGCAAGGAAGATAAATCTGTAAGGCAATTGCTAACAGAGTACACTTGACACATTGAAGTGGTGGTCTCTGACCACGAGCACTCTGAATGATCTGTAAAATTGCGGTAGACCAAATGCTCGTAGCATGATGAAATTCAGTGATACCGGGAGCATCCGCATGTTCATCCAGTCGAGAAAAAGGTAGAAGTCGATGGAAAGCCTCAGTAGGCGTAATGTTGCGTAAAAGAGTTGACTGATTCAATCACAGGTCCCTCAACTTAAACGCTGAACGGAGCTCTGGTCTAGTGACCAAGGAGTAAGCAGTCAACCACTGCGAGTTAGTTCCACTCTCAGAGCACATAATGTCTACCTGAAGAGTCAAAACGGTCGTAAGTTAAATGTTGAGAAAGAGAGCAGTTCCGAAAATTCGCTGGACGGAATATTACGAAAAGCGATTCGGAAGGCCCATATCATCCCTGCCATCACCTGACGACCCTTAATACCTGTTTTTATTTTCGACAAAATCCGAACAAAGCCTGGACCTGGCCATCTCTCACAGTCGTTGAGGAAAGAGGACGGTTCAGGTTCTCAGTATGACAACTTATGACGAAGATATGGGACGTCTTCGGACTGGTAAAGTTGAAAGAACCATCGAGGTAATGAGCTCGCTGTCAGCCACTTCGAATTTCTCACAAGCATCATTCCGCAACGGTGTTTTAAAATGATGAAGCAGCAGAGGTCAGGTTAGTTTCAATCCCGGTAGATAATGCATCGATTACACCATCACACCGAATCAGATGCATGTCATATATACAGGCAACCTAATACGATGGTGTACTTGGAGTTGAAGTCTGTCTTAAATTCGGTCTACAACAGCCGAGCTCAAGCCAAACGCATATAATGAAGTAGGATTTGGCAACCAACGGACTCACTTTGTGTACACCCAGAGAACTGAATGGAAGCGGTTTTCCAGTCTTGGTGTCCAGAAGCAATATTTCGCAATCGATAACTAACTGTTTCGTCAGCTTGAAGGCATCAGGTATGTATGGTTCAACGTGTGAGACCTAAATGAAAATAATGACTGTGCATATGTGGAAACAGATTATAACAGATAAGTCATGGGTTGTTCCCGGTCAGATAAACGTATATGTGATAAACGTCCTCGGTGATTTGTGTGGTAATAGATTGTCATTCCTGCAAAGCTGATGGATGCGGTATAAGTAGGCAGGAGGCAAATAAGTCGCTGTCAAAGAAAAATGATCATGCGTGGATGAGTTAGAAGGATAAATCGGAATGAATTCAGCCGCTGGGAACAAAGCACATATTACATTACTCGTAAGCAGCATGATTTCAGTTGTAAGCTTTAAGGTAATCACCACAGTAGGTCACAAGCTACATAGCACTGCCTAGTCCGGAGAAGCACCAGACGCGTTACGCCCTATTTGGGCTCGTCAGTGGTGCGCATTCCCTCGGTCGCTTAAGGGGGATCGAACCCATGACCGCCAGAGGCAGATGCTAACTCGCCAGCAGCTTAAGCCACTGAGCCATGGGGGACGTTGGATGGGTTACATAATTTGCAAGCTAACTGGGATATAGCACCGTTTATCTTCCACCATTTATCTTCCCCACTACCGCAAGTATTATCTCCACTTAATGAGCTATTGCAAGAAAATGCACCTTGGCATTTGGGTACTAGTCAGAGAGATTCATTCGAGAGGGTTAAGCAGGCTTTTACTTCGCCACCAAAGTTAGCATATTATGATACCGATAACCGCTCATCTTTCAGTGTGACGCGTCTCCTTGAGGGGTCAGGGCTGTCCTGTGCCATCGCATACACGATGATTGTTTGAGTTCTATTGCATTAGCATCGCGCACCCCACAAATAGCAGAGAACTATTCATAACTGGATAGGAAAGCCTTGGCTGTGATGTTCAGGATAAAGAAAATTCACCAGTACTTTTGGGGGAAATTTTTCGAGCTGCACAAGGATCATCATCATTCATCATCATTATACACCCCAGCTAGAGGTGGGAAAACACCTCAGCCACTGTGCCGCAATACATGAAGGAAATACATACAAACATACCCATAATACAGTACACAAAGGAAAAACAGATACAACAACTGCACGCCAGCTGAGCTACCAGCAACGGATAGGCATCGTTCCGGCAAGCTACCTGCCGGCTACCAGGCAAAAAGTAAAATCATTATGTTTTCCGCTACGAAAAGAGATCGTAGGTGGATGGGGAGGCTAAAAGGGATGGGGAGGAACAAAGAAACTCACAGCACAAACGCCACTGAGGTCGGCTCCTTGCCATGTCAGCAAGTGTATCCAGCCAAACGTGTTCACCGTCTTTTGGACCCCAACCAGGGAGCCGTCACGCTCCAACCGAGGCCAGCTCCGAAGTGAGGGCCTTCATTCCTCTCGACCAAGTCATCGCTTGGCCACCCCCTCCTCTTCTCCATCCACATTCCCCGTGAGCAAACAGCGCACGTCATGGAAGTCGGTGGGCTGACATGCGCAACACCTGGCCCAGCCATCGGAGTCTGGTGCGTGAAATAACGGTGCTGAGCGGTTCATTTTCCTTTCCTGTGCCGTAAACAAGGCGTCGAACACGCTCGTTGCTCACGCGGTGTTCCCACCAGATGTGAGCCAAACTGCGCAGGCACCGATGGTCGAACGCAACTAGCCTCATCAGGTCCGCCAACTTTAGGGGCCAGGTTTCGCAACCGTACAGTAGGGTCGAATGTACCGCTGCACTGTACACTCTATCCTTCAGGGCGAGAGTGATGTCGCGCCGCCGCCATAGGTGGCGAAGGTTAGCAAAAGCACTTCGAGCTTGCGCTATACGGTTCGTGATCTCGTCTTCAATCCCAAGGGCGCTGATACAACTTCCCAGGTAGTTGAATTTCCGAATGACTTCTAGCTGATCCCCAACAAGGGTCAGCGCAGGAGGCGATCCCTGTCAATCTTGGAGGAACGCTTTGCATTTCGATGGTGCAAAGCAAAGCCCGAAGCGGCTGACAGCCAGTGCTAATCTGTCCAGCGCGGCTTGGCACTTCTGGGTTGTCACAGATGAGAGGAATGTCGTCTGCGTACTCCAAGTCAAGAGGTTGTTCTCTTGGGAGTAGCTCCACACCTACCAAGTCATGTCCTGTAAATGCAAACTTCATGACTTCGTCAATAGTGAAGTTGAAGAGGAAAGGTGATAGCAGGAATCCTTGTCTCACACCGCTGGAGATATTGAAGGGTGGCGACAGCTTACCGTAAGCCCTCACTCTGCTCGTGCTAAGCGCGTAAAATGCTCGGAAAATATTTACATATTTCTCGGGCACACCTTTCCTGAGTAGACAATTCCAAAGGGCACATCGATCAACTGAATCGAAGGCAGCTTTGATGTCGAAGAACATGACTACAAAGGTGCGCCGCTAATTTGTGTGACGGTGAACCAACAACTGACACAAGGTGAAGATATGGTCGATGCAGCCACGACCCTGACGAAACCCGGCTTGCTCTTCACGAACCTGGCTTTCACGAGCGCCAGTCAGTCTGTGAAGGATTATGGAAGCAAGTAATTTGGAGGCGATGGAGATCAGACTGATTCCTCTATGATTGCCGCATTCCGGATGTGAGCCTCCGTTGAAGATGGGAACAATAACGGATCGGCTCCAGACGGTTAGGACAGTCTCCTGCTCCCACAGTTTCACCAGTAATTCAAGTAAAGCATCAAGAAAAGCAGAGCCGCCGAATTTGAAGAGGACTGGAGGAAGGTCATCTGGTCCCGCGGCTTCGCTCAACTTCAACAGTCCGATCTCACGTTCGACTTCTGAGCGAGAGTGGATCTAAAGGGACAGCCCAAGAAGCAGGCCGATTACTGGCCGGCGAAGAATCTAACGATTCTAACCGATTAAATTGCCTTTCAAAATGCTCAGCCCAACGCTCCAAACGTTTTGACAAATTGTGGATAGGCTGTCCACTCTCGTCACAAATTGTTTCACTAACTCCAGGCCTCCTGCTGCCAGTTTCCCGTATCAGACGGAATAACTTACGATGGTTGCCAAGGGCAGCGGCCACTTCCATCTCTGACGCATGATGGGATCACCAAGATTCGCGGTCTCTCTTCTGGCTAACCCGGAGTTCTTTGCGAGTTTCATTGTGTTCGCTTCCAGCCGGAATATGCCGGCGAGCGTCGATAAGTTCCAGAGACCGCGAAGAGACCCAATATCCATGTTGGCTATTAGACATACCACATGAGGATTTGCCTGCTGCTAGTAAGGTCTGACGAACATGTGACCAGTGACCATCAATTGTCACCAGTACGCGCTTACTCAACTCGCATGTCAGCGTACTTCGATAGGCATTCAGAACAGCTGGCTTCGCCAGTTGGCTAGTGTCAATGCACTCACAGCGTCGTCGTGGGTGTCCGCCAGAACGCATCCGCATGTCAGCACATACAAGTGCATGATCGGTGTCCACATAGGTGCTCCAAATCGAGCGACAGTTCTGGATGCGGCCTCTCCAGCGGTAACTGATAGCAATGTGATCGATCTGCGTACAAGGTTGGTGGGCGCCAAGTCACCCTCTGGCGGGTGCTGTGTCGGAAGTTAGTGCTCGCAAGAAATAAGCGGGCATCTTCACACAAATGAAGTAACCGCTCACCGTTATCACTGCGGCAGCCTACACCGTGCTGACCGCCCAGATGCATTTCATCAGTGGACAACTTTCCAACCTGTGTGTTCAGATCCCCCGCCAGCATAACAGTGTCCGTGTTTCTTCTGTGGCGAAGGAACTGGGTCAGTTGGCGGTAGAAGTCGTTCTTCACCGAATCATCGTTACAGTTTGTGGGCGCGTAGGCAGCAATGATGAATAGACACCTATTAATGCCGCGCGACTTCGAAGCTGTGAACGAGGCAGCCAATCGGACCGCACACATCCGGCTACTGATTGGAATCCAATCAACCAGAGCAGCTTCAGCCTGGGGACTCAGGGTAATGCCAACACCAGTTTGGTCGGTGCTCAAAACTGCAACGTCACCGGATAGGAGCAAGGGGAAAATACTGCTTGCGTCACCTAAAGGGAATCGCAGAGTGAGCACAGAGCTCTAGTCTTGCAGGCGGGTCTCTGATAAACAGCAGACATCGGTCGAGAGGGTCTCCAATGTTCGGGCAAGTGCTGCCTGTTGACCGATCTGTAGTAATGTGCGTACGTTGAGGCATGTGAATCTGAAGGACGGTCGAGGGCTCCAAATGGAAGCCGATGAACTGGAATGGACCGCTTAGTTGGACATGGGTTTGTCGACAGGACAGGAGTGACGCTCCGCGTTAGCATGTGAGTTGAAATTAGAAGATAAACGCCTAGCAAAGCATGTTGGGGGGAGGGCCAAGAATCGGGGGTTGAAAATTGGGGGGATAAAAGTGAAGTTGGAACGGGACGGTAAGAGTGAAAAAGCGTGAGATGGGGATTAAGAAGACGGGAAGGCTTGAGCAGTAGCATCCAAACCCCTATCCACCCTGCTCGATGCAGCAGATAGGGCACCGTTGAGTATCTTCTGCGGTGGCCAGAGCATCAGCAATTTGTTTGAGATAATATTCGTGGTATTGCGTGGGCAGGATACTGTCAGGTTGCCCAGGCATAGACAGGAGAACGATTAGGGTTCTCAACCAAAGCCTTTGGTTTAAAAACCTGACCGCAAGGCAGCGGGTTTGGCGTTGGTCTACAAGGAGTCCGTTTTAAGGAATAAGGTGCCACCCTCATTCCAACCCCCAAGCTGGAGGACCAGGAGGCTGAGTTTGTCTGGCCTCTAACCATTGACTAATCTGGTATGAGTGACTCTGAAGGTGCAAAAGCACCACCCAGCATAGCTCAATGGATCGCTGAGGCACACAAACCATCGCACCACGGTAAGGTCCAGCCTCATTGCGATGGGCACACGGATCACGAATCATTACTGTCGTTATTGGGAGAAATCAAGGATATCCAACCGACGACATCAATCAGAATGCAAATTGTGAGCCAAAAATGGTGAGTGCTTATTGTTACAATATTGATTACATCAAGGGTGTC